TAAAGCTATGTTAAAAATCTAAATCACTCAGAAGATAAATGACCATGCTTCAAATGCATTGATAGGTAAACAGCAATGACTGGGAATGCAGAAGAAAAACAATGTAAATGACAAAATAGTCTTAAGACTCAGTCTTCTGGTTACTTCACCTGCCAAAATGCCAAGTCAGCTTATATGATGACCCTGCATCCATGGGCAGTTTGTAGTTGGGCTCAACTTATAAATGATTATAGATGATATTATTAATTATTGAAAGAATTTTGGATTTGGAAAAAGATTTTGTGATAAGACAGACCTCATGAAACATTTAATCCGTAAATATGAATATTCACACTTAGACTAGGAATAAATAAATATAAGGGTTGCAAACATTTAAAATCTTCATTTGGATTTTATTCAGTTACATTTTGGACTTTATTATCATTTGAATATTTTGATTTCAACAGGTACAATGAAAAACATCTAGCAAAAGATTAAGTTTCTTTTGCCAAATTCAATCAAGTTGATAAATTAACTGAATGAGTGAAAAATCATTTCTCTGTTTGAGCTTATTTTGCATTAGCATTGCAATGATTAAAGATGTCCTTTTAATCAAACTGTAGTTTGTTATTGAATTTTTCAGTCAGGTACCTTTCACTTGATAGTATTGTCAAACCATTTATTTTCAGTGGTTATATTCTGAATAGAAAATTTAGGTAAATATTTGAACTATTATTATGAACTTTGGTCAGACCAAAGTTCAACATAAAATCACTCATATGAAAGGAATGAGAATCACAAAAACTCAATTATGTAGATATTACTGTTGTCATTTTTATTAGTTCTACTTGTTGTAGACCACATGAGTTTATTGGATGGCTTGTTAGCACAAGTTTATTATAAGTTTGTTATAAGTTTGCTATAGCACAAGTTTGTTAAAACTATTCCTTCAAAACTACTTGGAGGATTGCCATGTAATTTTCACCAAAAGGCTTATAGTCACTCATTTTTCATTAATGGTGCTCAGTATGGCCACCACAGTGACCAGTTTAAAAATCTTAAAACTCAGAAATTGGTTTCAACACTAAGCAGTTAAAAGAGCAATACGTATAATCTTGGATTCCAGGAATTTCTTTCTGGACACTAGAGTAACATTCACTTTAAATTTTAATTTTGTATGCTCATTTCATCCATGATAGGCACTAATCTTTGCAAATGAAAATTCTGTCACTTCAGTAGCATGCTAATTTATCTGCATTATAAATATATTTTTCAACAGATTTGGACTTCTGTTAACCTGACTGAATATCATATATACCTACTTATAAATTGAGTCCAACTTCAAAGTGCATAGACCCAGACCCTCCATTGCAAAATGTACTGGCAGATCTGGATCTATCCAGTTTTATTAGGAGTAATTAGTTGATGTTGTTTTTGAGGGGTTTTATTAATACCATTTCTTAGTTCAAGATAGGCCATACTGTAGAATTTTGATTATCCAACACCCAATTAACTGTCAGTCTCTGTTTATTGTCAGGGCATTGTACATCAAAATATTAAAAGCAGGTACATGTACATATGTAGATATTATAATTTTTTTTTATTACTTGGTCAATTGTATAATACTTTTAATGTACATATTCTACTGTCTATCTATTCTCATATCTGTCATGGTCTCTGTCCCACACACTGATGGATAATCAAAGTTTTACTGTATATGATAGAGAGTATAAGTGATGGAGGAAGAAGGAAAACCCTGGTAAGAACCACTGACCCATGGGAAGCTACTGGCAGCTTTCTCATATACTCAATATACTCACCAGACTTGAACCCACCTGGAGAGAAGGGTGATGGCAGTAATTAGGAGTAATCAGTAGAACAAACAAAGCAAACTGTGCTTTGCCAGTCTATTACGTAGTGGCAAAATCAGGGATTATGTTGCATGAAGTCAACTTATAAGTGGGTATATAAGATAAAATGTGGGCTGGATAATGTTCTGTCATAGCATCAATGTTTAAGTGATGTATAGATAGAAATAGGATCTGTTACTGTTATTTGAGTATTATACTGTAGGGATACTTCTTAATGACAAGAATTCTGCAGAATTCACCTGCTGCACTGACACATATTTTTCTAAATACCCAGCAAAGTCACAGTCTGACCTCCTCTTGCTTGTGATAAGTAGTACCCTTTATGATGAATATGGCTATCAAGCATCATGGCTGTATATGCAGCAATGTCGGAGAGACTGACCTTCATGTAAAATCTTAACATGGACACCAACAACAACAACAACAATGCATTTGGAAAAGAGGATCCAAGTGGTTAAATGGTTCAAAGTTCTCTCCTTTATACAATCTGTTCCATTTCACCTTTATCCATGTGGGCTTGAGTCCCAGGCTTGGCCAATGTGTCCATGTGAGAAAGTTGCCAGTAACTTCCTATGGGTCAGTGGTTCTTTCCAGGGTTTTCCCAGGTTCTTCCTCCACCACTCACACTCTTCCTTCACCATATAAAGCATTTCTTGCACTGAGAAATGGCACTAAACCACAAGACAATAAGACAAGTGATGCCTACATCTCATCCTGCTTTGCAGGTAATATTGATGCTTATTAAATGGTTCTTATGCTATTGCAACATGAGTATTGTTTTAATTGTGACTTACTTATCACTTACTTACTTACTTAATCACTCTTTGTTTGTTTCCATGCATGTGCTTTCTTGCAGAATTTTATCTATCATAATACAATGTGTCATGTAAAAAACATGATATTTGACTCCCCCTCCACTTGGGTCAAGTTTGAAAAAAAAACCCATAATTTTTAATAATCTTTGGGATACAGAATCTATCACATTTTGTGACTACCACTACACATGTCCAAAGAATGCAGTCTGTATAAACAGCAAGCACTCCTTATTAGAGCCCTTGTCAAGTTAAAGTCATTATAAACTAATTATCATGGAGTGAATTGCAACCTCAGATAAACAACTATTTTTTCATGGATCACTACATGGTAATTGGTTGAAAATAGCTAAGATGATTCCATGTCATGTTCTTTGAACATTGCTGTGGGAGAGTTCCTTAAATTTAATTGGCATAAGTAAAGTACACTAGTGGAAAACACAATTTGTTGACTTTGGTGAAAGCTTAACTGTTATTATTATTATTATTATTATTATTATTATTATTATTATTATTATTATTATTATTATTATTATTATTATTATTATTATTATTTGACAATTATTTTACTTTTTCAACCACATGCACAAACAAAAAAAAAAAGGAAAGCTAACCTGAAGCTTTTGTCCTCACACTAAGGACTTCATCAGCAGACTGATTTAATGTCTACTGACTGTTAACATGGCTTGATGGAAAGGTGAGCAAATTAATAGATTGTCCCAGATTAATTTGAATAAGGTATACTCATAGAGATGGGTGTTGAGAGCAAAAGTTATGCACATCATTACCTTGAATGAGAATGTTTAAGCATTTTTATTATAGATTAATTATTGGCAAGTTTGTAATCAGTGGCAGTCTTTGGAGTCAGATTTTACTCATATAAAACATAAAACATGATTGTTTGGCTTCACAAGCATGGTTCATTTTTTACTTCAAGGTACTGAAATTAAGATTTAATTTAGGAAAATATGAATCAGGAGCAAAATGAGTCAAAAAAAACTAATTTCAGAACCACTATACTAAGTTTGATTTTGTGCAGCTCAGTAACAATGGGGAGCATTTTGTTTTTTCATTTCAAATTCATTTCACAAGCTCTTCTGTATTCATGAATAACTCAGCTTCTAGTAAAGAGTAATTTGAAACCCAATCAAATCCTAACTTTGTACACATAAGCATGTTTATAAATAAACTTATTTTTATTACTTTTGTTAAAATTAGATTTTAATGAATGTAAATGTGTCTACTGTTTTTACCAAGGCATACAAGTAGTTATCTGATCCATCTAATAGAAAGAATGTGTCATTGGCATATTGTGCCAGTTTATTTTCATATCCATTTAGGCATATGCCTTTAATATTATTGTGCCAAACCATAATTCCTAAAATTCTGCTACTAATGAAAACAAATAACGAAAGAGAGGATCCCCTTGATGACAACCATGTTCAGTGTATAAAACAAAGATATGCCACATATACCTATCTTTATTTGAGGAAATGAGTGACAGGTCAGTAGAACTTGTGAAATGGATATTTTTGGCAACAAAATCACTGTTAATGCCCAGAAACATGAACTGACCATCACATCAACAATTTATACTGACCACATTGAGTCTTATAGGGGATGAAGGGTGGAATGAAATCACCATTATTGTCCTGCAAATTTCCAGTCCAAGACTAATTATCCTAATTCTAATACCACCTGGAATTTTTTAAACCCCCAAAAATGCTAGAAATTAATTTATGTCACTACCATATATACTTGTTTATATGTTGAGTCCAACTGCAAACTGCACAGACCCAGATCTGCCAGTTGTATAATGAGCTGGCAAATCTGGATCTGTGCAGTTGTAAGGTCTAATCAGTAGAACAAAAAAAAAACTTCACAGACACTAATCTGCTAGCACATCATGAACTGGCAGTTCAGGGTCTATGTTGTTTGGGACTCAACTTGTGAGTGAGTAAAGATGGTATTTCACAGATAATGTCCGGTGCAACATTGGAGTCAGTTTGAAAAGCATATTGATTGCACTGCTACAGATTTGGACCAATCAAAAAGTGTGTTACATCTGCTGGTGTGTTAGTGTGATTAGAAACTTTTGATGTGATTGATGTGATGTGATTATGATTTTTAACATAGCTTTAACAATTTTTTAGTCATGTCACAAAAAATGTCTGCAGTGTGGCAGTATAGTGATTTTCTAGCACTGGGGCATCATGCTGCAGACATCTAGCATGATGTCCCACCCAGTTACATTATCCTGACACCTGGCTGACCAGTCCTAACACCAACCTCTTAATGCTGAGTGTCAAGCGAGGCAGCTGTTAGTACCATTTTTGTAAGTCTTTGGTATGACTTGACCAGGTATCAAACCCACGACCTCCCGCATCTGAGGCAGACACTCTAACCCCTAGGCCACCAGAGAC